TATTTTTATTTGATTTTCGTTGTAACCGGATCTTATAAAAAGACCGGATCTTTTGTAACTCAAAAAGTTGTAACTCAAGATGACAATGGAATCAATAACAAAGAAAGCAATGAATTTTCCCGCGAACATGCCTAGTTCTGAGCTCCGATCGCCGGCGAACTAAGCAGACTCGAACTCTATCGACTTGAGCTTCTACTGTGTACTGAAGCTCTCCAGCAACCTCGATCGAACGGTCCAAGGGAAGCAGACTCGACACGGGCATCGAGCGAAGCGTCCTATAGCCACCTAAAGTCCCCACACTAAACAAAGAGGGCATTCCCTCTGCTTCTGTTGTAAACATTTGATTATTAGTTTATAATAAGCTTTCTTATCAATACAAACAAAACTCCCCGTTTCCGGGAAATCAAATTTACACCCTACATAGTCGACTGGGGCCATCAGTCGACTCACAGTCAACTGGGGGCATCGGTCGACTCACCGTCGACTGAACATAGGGGTTTTCCCTATTCGTGCATGCTATGTTATTTTTGCAAAAATTCATCAAAAATCGATTTCATAAAACCCAAACAATATATTATCAGTTCTAAACATAGGAGACAGTGTAAAATTCGTATAAGACATGGAAAACAAAATCTTGCATGTTAGATCTAACATTAAATCCCTAAACATGTATGCGAGCATGTAATCGAAATAAAAACTCATATTTATATTCTTTAAATAAATTCCCAGATCTGAGTTTCATCAAAAACATTCGTTGGTGAGGATTTTGAAATCTTAAACACATGATTTTAACATCTACACTAATAAGAGCATCGATTTATACTTGAAAATACTTCTTAGGCTCAATAAACCTCATGAAAACATTAAGAAAAGAGCATCGATTTATACTTGAAAATACTTCTTAGGCTCAATAAACCTCATGAAAACATTAAGAAAAACTCTTAAAAATGTAGGAAAAGGATTGGGCGAGATGCTACTCGCCTTAGGTGTGCTGAAGAATGATTCCCTTCGCTGCAAAGCAGAAGAAGCTGCTAAAATCCCCCAAAAATCTCCCAAAAACGCCCAAAACGAACTAGGGTTTAGAGGGGGAAAGGAGGCTAGGGTTTCTCTGGGGAGAATTGATGAAAAGAGGTGTTTTCGGGTAGAGAAGATAATATATGAACAGTTAAAACCCGACCCGCAAACCCAAACAAACCCGAACTGCAAAAACCAGAAAACCCTCGATGAGTCGACTCATGGTCTGTTATGAGTCGACTCATGACTCATGGGTCGATTCATAAACTGATGAGTCGACTCAGCAGAAATTTCTAACAACGGGACTTGATATCGTGAGTCAACTCATGACAGTCATGGGTCGACTCAACCTAATGAGTCGACTCATGATGAGTTATGAGTCGACTCACGAGCTGAAAACTGGATTCTTCGAATCTGCTGCTCGCCGACTCGTTTCACGCTTCCACTGCGCTGATTGACACCTCCATAAATTATCAAAATGAATGGGGTTTTACACTGACGAAGAAGATGGGGTTCTCGGCCAGAGAGGGGAGGGAGGGAATGTAGCAGTGGGGGAGGAGGGGAGGGAGCGGAGGGAGGGGGAGCGCCAGTTGGGGAAGCCGGGAGAGGAGGGGAGGGAGAGGGAGGACGGGGATGAAAATTTTCATTTTGGGGGGGAAAAGAGGGCGGCTGCGGGTTTTAACGGGTTAATTTTTTTTAAATGGTCAGGTATTCTAGACGGAAATTTCTGTCTAGGATGTATCCTAGACGTGAATTTCCGTCTAGAATACCTGGCTATTTAAAAAAAATTAAAAATACAGGAACCGTCTAGGATACTATTCTAGACGGAATATTCCGCTCATTCTAGACGGAATATTCTAGACGAAAAATTTCCATCTAGAATAAGTTATTCTAGATGGAAAAATTTTCGTCTAGAATATTCCGTCTAGAATATGTGATTTTCTACTAGTGTGGTTTGTTTTAATTTTTGAGTTTCATCAGGTGCATGGTTCATGTTTTAGTCATTGACCATACAAGTACTACATCATTTGTCCTGTTTGACCGTGAAGCTAAATAAATTATTCACAAAACTACGACCAAATTAAGGGAACGACTAACAAAAGTAAATACTATGATTTTTATTATAAATTGTAAGTTTCGATCAGATAACTATACTTTGGGTTTTTACATTATTCACAAGAAGGTGATGATGATTCATTTCCTCAAGAGTTAGATCTCTTGGTAAAAAAGAAGCTTCTATTCAAGATTCAAGTTTTAGAATCCATCCTCAATCAAAATTGGCCTATATTTTGTGTTTGAAAATGACTGATGATGAAAGTTTGATAGCAGCTTTCATAGACAACTCAAATTTGAATCAGGTATATATTACAAATTCTTCCTTTTATGGGCGAATATTTTTTAATTTTCTACATCAATCTGTATACATAAATCATATTGAGTAGCATAAGTAATCTCTTTTATTTCTTAATCACTAGGAGTCAATAAGTCAAGAATATTTCAACCATGAAGTTGAATCTTCTAGAAAGAAAGAGGGTTTTAATACTGTAAGTCAATACCTTCAAAAATACCTTAACGCTTACTATTTCTAGAAACAATGGGAGATGACATGATCAATAGAAACTTCTCAGCAAACCTAACATTTTAACAAATTTATTCATAAAGCAACTTGACATATATAATTTGATATATGCAATATTTTTTTGCAACACTTATATTCCAATACTATTTTTTTGCAGTGGATGTTAAAAAGACTTGCATAAAGATTGAATCATGGGCCACTAAAATAATCTTCCTCTCTTATCTTCTCATGAATCCTGCCCTAAATAAAACCAGCTCTACAAAAAAGAATAAAAAATATACAACCTGATGTTTAAAGAAAAGAAAAAAAAAAGAATATACATGAAGAAGACAAACATCATATTCAATTACCCATTATCGTCACTACAACTCAAAAGATGTTCTATTCTCTTGTCTTTTAAAATAGATTTCAGATTGATTGCTATTGTGCTTTATTATTGATTTCTTGATTCTTCATAATCAATCACTATTAATATATTTCTTTGCGCTTTACTATTGAATTTTTAATTCTTCATATTAATAGTGCAAGAATCTTTTCCTGGAACCTTACTAACAGCGTAATTGTTATGTTATATTAAAATACAGGACACCCTTTCGATCTCTTGCGACAATGAAGTTGAAATTTATTCCTCAGATAATGTAACTCCCTGCAAGAGGAATTTGTTGGAGTCTGATATCGAGCACTCATTTCTCCACAAATGTCAAGCAACAAAAAGCAGAAATAAAACAAAATTGAAAATGAGAATTAGAATATTTTGGAGAGAGAGAGTTGAAGCTGCTTTTTAGAAAAAATCTCTATCTGATATATGATGTTTGAAACTTATATTTAGTATTTTGATCTAAAACTCTATTTAGTGAAAAATCTCTATCTGATATATGATGTTTGAAACTTATATTTAGTATTTTGATCTAAAACTCTATTTAGTAAACTTTTGTATGAACTATATTGATGTTTGAAACTTATATTTAGTATTTTGATCTAAAACTCTATTTAGTAAACTTTTGTATGAACTATATTTTTTTGGTGGTTTTTGGTCTACAAGCCTATTTAGTAAACTTTTTATGTAGTATATTTCTTTTGGCGGTTTTGCATTGATAAACCCAACTACTTGTTATGTTTATGATAAATATTTTGTTTATCAATAGGTAGATAGTTATGATTTTCTTTTATGGATGTCTGTTCTTGACAGATACTTGTATTTCAATATGCTTGAAATATTTTGGGTGGAACAAAATTTGATGTTGCATAATTTGGTATAGCAAAATATAGTAAAATGTTATAATATTAACCATGTAGATCAGAGACGTTACCTATTTTGTTATGATAACAGGGGATTCAAAAATCGATTCTACTTTAAAATTTAATAATAGTAAATTAAGCATATATGTAGCTTAGGTTATATCATTTTTGACCAATCCCATGTTATTATTGTTTTAATTTGCATTCCTTCGCTACATAAATTTTTATATATTAAACAAATTCATGCATCACACGGGTCTAAAAACTAGTTAATAATATAAAATTATCATTGCAATGTGCATGTAAAACCTGCATGTAAACAAGAAAATGGATATACGTGCAAAGCAATTGCACCATACTAGTTAAATCAAATATAATCGAGTACATAGATGAATAATTGATGAACTATTTTGGTTCTTTTCCACCCAAGCAACTGGCAAAAAAAATTTGAGTGATTTGGGCAACTTCTTAAAATATATACATCATTTGAAGGAATTTTTTTTTCATTCAAAGAGGGAATTTCACTGTGATCATTTGAACCATGAATATCAAAACCTCCCAGCATAGCTAAGGGGCTGTTTGGTTCATTTCCATAAAATTATGGAAATGAATTCCCTGACAAGAAACAAATTTAAATTTTTTTAGGATATCTAAGGAATCTAAAACTTGTGTTTGATATGGAATGATAAAGTAAAGAATAGGAAATCATCTCCAAAACTCAAGTTTGTTTCATTTCCAAATAATAATAAGAGTTGTGAGAAGAAATGATGAGTTGTCAGCGGGTTGTCAGCTTTCTAGTCCATTTCCTAGCCAAAAGATAGGAAATGAGCTGTCTAAAAAAAGTCACTGTTTAGAAGCTTTTTAAGAAACATTTTTTTTGAAAAAAAAATTAAAACAAACCCAACTTTTAGAATCCTAAAATATTAAAAAACCTATTTTTTATTCCAAATCCTAAAATACACATTGTTTTCAATAATTTTGGGTGAACCAAAAACGTGAACTTTCGAAATATACACCTTCGGGGAACAAGAACCGCTGAACCGGGAACCTATAGCCCAAAAAAGGGTTTAAAATGTAACAGACGCCAAACTTCTGACACGATTCCTACAAATTTAAATAATATGGTGGGCTTATATGCAAAACAATCTTCATTGCTGATGATAAAGAGACCCTAGACGACCTCTAGCTCACACTTCATCGTCTCTAATGGCTCTCATCAGAATCCATTCCTCTCTCGCTACATTATCTTCTCACTTTCACTACCCCCATCATCGCCTGTTTCTCTCTCATCGATCCTGTTTGCGTTCTTCCCCCGCTGTCAGCCCTCGCCAATTGCTTTCGATAGTCTCCAGCGGTTCCCAATCTGGTAATTTCCCGAGTTTTCGTTTTCCTCTGAAACCCTAATCGAATCTTCAGTGTCTTTACTAAAAATGCTTATTTATTTTTGGGATTTTTTAGGTATTGAAGCAAGCTCGAAGGTCATGCTCAAAGACATGGATTTCCCTGAGCTCGAAGTAAGTACCTTTTGTTATAATTATCGTGATAAAGATGCTGTTTTGCAATTGGAAATCATCCCCTGTAATGGTTTATATATTTCCTAGTAACTTACATATAGAAAGAAAATGGAAACTTTTGCTTTTTGAGGTCAGCTTCGTGTAGTATTACTACTAAATTCGTTACATTGTCTTCTTTTATGGAATTTGACAACTTATAAATGAGCACTTGCAATGTTTTATAAGCGATGCGTCTTAGCGCCTGAGGGGCTAAATTGAGGCGATACTGTACCTTAGCACCTTGCATATCGCCAGGTGAGGAAACGTTACTAAGATGAAGGCCTTTTGGCCCCTCAGGCATTTGCCTATGGCATGTGCGCAAGGTCGAGGAGTTTTGGGAGCTAATATATGATGTGGGTTTGGTGATGTAAATATTTTTGTGTTAAGTAGATGATAACCAATGATATAAGTGTAGATTTGGAGTATAAATCTTGGAGTTAGCCAAGGCCCAAGGATCACACGTTCTCTTGTGAAGAGGATTTCTGACCAGCAGTGACATGTCTTAGTTGTATAATTGATTGACTTTTGTCTTGGTTGAGTCATGGGCATTAATATTGCTCATCCTTGACTTCGCCTTTCACCATGACTCCTCGAGATCTACTTCTAACTCCTTCCACAATTTCCTAGTACAAACACATGACTATCAACCTTATGAACGCAATGCATAAACTTTCGTCTATATAATAAGTAAGTGCACACATTTGTGTGTTCTCAATTATCTTGAGTACATCCTAAAAGTCAAGTAACCTCAAAACGTTAACTGAAAGCCTAACAGTTATATATATTCCTAGAATCAAAAGAGGAATAGTATTGGAAACACCTTAACTGAAAGCCTAACAGTTATATATATTCCTAGAATCAAAAGAGGAATAGTATTGGAAACACCTTACTTTTCTTCTTTTCCTCCTGTCTTTTCTTTCCTCTTTTGTTTTATCTTCTTCCTCTTTCTTTTTTTCTTCGTCTTCTTTCTCTTCTCATATTGCTAGTTCAGGAACATGGAAAAATAAGGGTGAGGATGAGGGATGGAAAGCGATAAATACTCCTCTTCCCCTAATCCTCGGACGTATGTCATGTCCATATCTTCTGTTCTCATGATGCCACCACCTCTGCCTCCTCATCATGGGATAAGGGTCTCTCCTTTCTCCATATAATGCCACTTCCATATATTATTGTCCATAATGTTTGCATAAACTCCCTTCTAATTCTCACATTAGCACATCTTTCATGTTCTATTCCAGTGTCACATCAAATTTTCTTTACCGCAACAAAAACACAACAACAAAGTTTTTATCTCAAATGGAATTACCACGAATATAAAAAAATTTCCAATTAATAATAGATATGTTATTACTTATTACGAAGAATATAAAAATTTGGGTATTATAATTAAATTTAGCATGCGATGTTTGACAATTTACAAGGTTGCTACCTTTGGAATTGAGGGTTTTACACTATTGGGAAAGTGCACCTCCTTTTTGGAATTTTTATGTACTAAATTTGCTGTTGTTTATCAATACATTACATTTCATAGCAGGATTGAGTACCTCAGTTCTGAAGACTGATATATCTATCTAGTAACTTAAATATAGAAGTAAAAAGGCAGCTTTTCAGGTGAAGTTCTTCTTTCTAGTTAATTGTTAAGCTCTTCAAATTGTAAATCGGCGCTGCAAGATCATAGTTAGTTGTTGGTAAGTATTTGGCTGTTTGTAACAGTAGGATTGACTATGAGAGCTTGCATAATTCCTGTGAAGAAACCATAAATATTTCTTCTGCATTGAATGAAAAGAAGCTACTGCCCATTTTTTATCGCTCATAGTAGAACTTTTTAAACACAAACAATTTTCATACATGCGCACAAAAATAGAGGACACACAAAGAAATGAAAATAGGGAGCTCTTGTGGTAATCGATAAAGTACTTATCAAGTAAAGTAACAAATGGGGCGATTTGGCATCTGCGCCCATTATCTGGTTGAAACATTGGTAGTAAAGTTAATGTAGCTGTCCATGAGTTGACAAAAAAGAAAAATAAAACATTTGAGGTTCTTGTGAAACAATGAATAAAATACTTGTTATTCATATGCCCACTTTTCTAGGTTTTGTTGCTCCTTTTTCCCCCTTCTTGAGCTTACTCTGTCTCTTTGAGCGAATGCCATATGTCCAAAAAAAGCTGATGTTTTTGAGGAAGTGGTAGCCATTTTCTGCTAAAAGAAAACATAATGTACTATTAAGACAGCTATGCTCTAATCTAATCTACCATCATCAAAGAAAGAAGTTCAGCTTTGTGGGAAGATGGGTTTCCTAACTCACTAACTTCTAGGAATCAGTCTTCTCAATGTTCGTTACTTTGATGCTAATATTTTCTGTATTATTAATTTTTATATCACACTACCACACATTCTCAAACAAAAGCCATATGTGATTTTGTAACTATCAGTGTTAAAAATAAAGATAATGCATAATGTAACGCTATAACTCTTGTTAAGGGTTAAAGCAAAAAATGCAAAAAATGCAAAAAATGCAACACATAATGTAGTTTATTTTGTTTATTAATTATTTACATATTTTATAAATACAAACTATTCATAATGACTTTAATAATTAGAATCATCAAAAATTTCAAACATAACATCACAATAGGGACAAAGTATTTTCGTATTGTTTAATTTTAAAAAAAATATATAAAAGATGTTCATAATAATTTTAAGGATTAGGAATAAAATGAAATATCATAATACAAAAAAATTTTAACTAAAATTCTTTAATTCAATACAAGCTACATAGATTTATTAGGAAATATCACAACTGAATACTCAAATATGTAATCATAAATTTTTAGCTCATTCTTAATTACATTCGTTTTAATTTCACAATCAAATAATAATGTTACTAAAACAAGAGATGAAGACTTAATAAACAATTTAAAAGTAATTAGTTATCTCCTTCAAATTCTAAGAAAGTATGTGCTTTCAAGTCTTTGGAACTTATATTAACTCCTTCAAGTTTTAAGAAAATATGTGCTCTCAAGTCTCTAGAACTTATTTTGAGATAATGTAAGTTATATTGAAGTAACTCATGTTATATTGAAATAACGCAAGTTATATTAAAATAACACATATTATATTGTAATGATGTTAGTTATGATGTCATAAGTTATTTCATAAGGTTATGTAACATTTAAAGCCTGTTAGGTTATATAACACAACATAACGAGTTATGTAACGGGCTCTTTTAAACGAGGGTAAATATTAATTATTTTGAATAGACACTTGCAACTTCTCACTTTTGACTCATTAGTGAGGTCCATTTGGGATGTTTTATTTGAGGAACATTTCTGATACTATCACCTGTTCATAAAGCTTTCTGTTACATGGTATGTGAGTAATTACTAATTTTCCAAGAAAAAGCTATTAAAAAAAAGTATTTAAGAGAAAGTGTAAAATTGTATGTTTGATATTCTTTTTTCCATTCTTTAGTTAAACACTTCATTTTGATATTTCTAGTTGAATTTTAGTGTGTGATTGGTGGAAGTTTTTATGAAGATATATCACCAAATTTGAAATCAGTGTTAGTATTCTGGTGAAAGAAGGGAAGAAGCATTTGTTCCTACATAGTATTGATATATAGCTTAACTTCTAATCATTAAGAGTCCAAGTGTCAGATGCAATGTTTCCCTTAGGGGATTAAGAGTGAAGCATACCTTTATATAAACTTGTTCTGAATTTCTCTTGTTCTTAATATAGTTACTGATAAATTGTGATTTTGGACAGAAATGGGTTCAGTCGCACGGCTTTAGGCCAGGACAGGCAATGATGCTGTGGAAGTGCCTTTATGGAAACAATGTCTGGGCACATTCTCATGATGAATTGGAAGGTCTTTTGCTTGTATGTTTTTACTTTCAAACGGCCTGATGAATTCATACTCTTTTGAGCACTTTTTATGGATCATGGATGTAACATATGATGCCTTTGTTCACATTTCTCTTGAGTGTATATGCTCATCCTTTTTTGCTTTAAGGGGAATTTGGACCATCCGAACTTTCCTGGAGGACTCACTTTAAGATATTATAACATGGGTTTACTTTGTACTTTTGCTAAAGTAAATTGTAAATTTTGTTGGCATTTTAATTTTGTGAACCACGTATATTAAAGAATTAGACATATCTAGTTTACTTTAGCTGCACAATGAAGGAAGTTAGGAACCACATTGAAGTTTAATGCTATCAAATTAAGTTGATACATGTCCTTAGGTTATTGTTTGTAGAACTAGTACTGGAAAGTTAAAATAAAGAAGTGCTTCTCTAAAATTATGTGATTGTAGAATATCTATAAAATTGAAGGGAAAAGTTGTAAAATGGGTTGCGACTAGCCATTTGTTAATGTTCAACAATTAGAAAACATTTCTAAAAAGTAAGTGTAAACGAGAATGTTGAGAATGACACGAAAAGATGGGAATAAGAAACATGTGAAGTCAAGGGTGGAGTCAGTTAACAATCAAGCAAGGTAAAATAAATTGAGATGGTTTAAACATTTACTATGGAGAGATACTTGTGTCAATTTGAAGCATCAGTAGGACCATAGTGAAATGATCATAGCTGAAGGAACAACAGGCTTATAAATGTCAATTTGAAGCATCGGTAGGAGTCCATAGTGAAATGATCACTGCTCTACTTAATTTCTATTTATAATTCCTGGCATACCAATAAGAAAAAGCTGAAATTTTTTTAGAATACTGCTCTACTTAATTTCTATTTATAATTCCTGGCATACCAATAAGAAAAAGCTGAAATTTTTTTAGAAGAGTTGCGAATGTTTCAAACCACTATTCTTCCTGGCATACCAATAAGAAAAAGCTGAAATTTTTTTAGAAGAGTTGCGAATGTTTCAAACCACTATTCCTCAATAATGTCATTGGTATTCTTGATCTGAAATTAAAAATATCCTTTGTGTTTGTCAAGCAGTCACAATAAACACGTGGTGGCCGTTGAATGAACATATATATAGTAAAAGAAGAGTCGAAGAAGGAATTGTTGTTCATTAGTCAGTTTCTCTCCTTGACTGAAGTTGGACAGTATATTCCTTATCATACACTACATTAGAGGCATTCTGTGAGCTGGGCCTTAGGCAATTGGCTATGAACTAGAAACTAGTGGTTAACTCCTCAATTGAATTTATCTGTTTCTGTCAATAATTTTGCTTTTCTTTGTACCCATTCTCTTTCCATCTTATTTACACTGTTTCTTCATGCCTTTTTCACCTTTTAGAAAACTCTTTTCCTTTTGCTATCTTTTAATTTTTTCCTTTTGAAGGGCTTTATTCTCTATGTACTTTGAATCTATTAATTATTTATTGTCAATAGATGCTGACAACCATAAGCATAATACCTTGCTCCTTTTCTCTTAGCAAAACCTTTTGATGATTATAAACATGATGTTTCTTTAGTAATGCTATCTCATTCTTTTATAGGTTTAAATAAAGATTTCAAAAAAAATGTTAAGTGAAAATGCTTCTTTCAAGGCATTGTCAGTGAAAGATATTTTCACAGCATCTGATGGAACTCGAAAGGTAGATTGTTCTGTTCTGGCTATTTATTTCTGGAGCTTCACTAAATGCTTTGTCTTTATAATATATTTAGCTATGGACATATAGATGTAGGATACCATTGTGAGGTGATATTCTTAGAATGTTTTCATTAATTCTAAAATTCACAGGGGGTTGCAGATTTTGTTCAATTTGGATGATGGCATGGTGATAGAGACAATTGTGATTCCTTGTAGTACAGGAAGAACAACTGTGTGTGTTTCAAGTCAAGTGGGTTGTGCAATGAATTGTCAGTTCTGTTACACGGGCAGGCAAGGCTGTTATAATCGGGACTTACCTGCTTTTTTTAAATTATTTTTGGCACTCTGCTGCTGAGTCCTAATTAACAATTTTTTTTTTGAATTTTGTAAGGATGGGATTGAGGAAGCATTTAAGAACATCTGAGATTGTTGAACAGGCTGTATTTGCTCGGCGTTTGTTCTCTAGCGAATTTGGGTCTATTACAAATGTTGTATTTATGGTGAGCGTTCTGGACCCTTTTGCAACATATATAAATTGTTTGCTCTATACATTTATTCATCACTCAATAAGTTAGCTAAGGTTTCCCATTTGCCATTGGCTATACTTGGATGCATCTTCAGGAGTCATAACTGAATTGCTTTAATGTTCTTTGTTCGATTCCTTCTTTACCATAATTGTAAGGACATGTCACACGTAAGTTTCACAAATTGAACCTTTATGAAACATTCAATCATATAGTGAGCTTTCCTCGTATTACTTAGTTTTCTGACACAGAATTTGAAACTGGGTTTGATTTTGCTATGTATAAGGGTAATCAGTAGGTTAGTTTCTTATAAATAGCCATTAAATTTCTATTTCATTACGGAGTGAAGAGAGGTTGAGGGGGTTTGTCTTTCTTATTCTTGCGTGTGAAATATGCTCCCAGGTATATGCTCCCAGGTATTACAAGCGAAGCTTCTATGGTGGCTTGTGCAGTGACATCCGTAGTATGAGATATTTTTGTTTAACCGCTATTATATGAGTTTGTAGTAATCGTACAAGGATTGGAATTGAATTGAGGGTATCAGTGTTATGCTTGTATTCAGGTTATCTTAGTTGGACTTGATTGGAAAGAAACAACTTCAATTAGAGTTGAATCCCATTT